TGCAACTGTTACTACAGCAGAAGTCACGCGACGCTGGGAGCATGCGCGCTGGAGTTTCTAGAAGGATCATGAAGGCCCGAGTGCATTCGAGAATCCCTCTTTTTAATATATAAGCCTGGCAAGTTAAAACCAGCGCGATTGAAGGGATAGATAATTGCGTCAAGCGAACAGTAGGCACCGTTAGTAAAGTATGTGAATCACTTTGATTTATAGCGTGTGTTATAAAGGTTGTTACACTTAAAATGACTGTGGAAATTCTGTGTATTACAAAGAGTTGTATCGAGAAAGAATAAACTAGTTTTAATTGAGAAAAGACTTGTACAGCTGAAGTTCCTTGGAGAGAATTTATACCAAAAATTAACAAACGAGCAGATATGCAACACAACGTTAAATTACGGGGTTTGTTTTCCCATGTAGACACAGCAGATAGATTTATTTTTTTTTTCATTAAACCTCCCAAAGATTAAGCCCCAGTGACACGGCGGTATGTCTGCGGACTTATACCGTTAAAAACCGGATTTCGATACCCGTGGTGGGCAGAGCACAGATAGCCCTTTGTATAGCTTTGTGCTGAACTACAAACAAACAAACCCAAAGATTAAGCTGTATTTTACTTCACTTCTAAAAAAATAAACTGAAGGGCTATAAAAATTGTAATTCATTGAGAAGTTCGTTAAGACTTGTTTTCAAATTTAGTCCACCTTTAAGCTGTTCCTTTCTTTTTTTGGGTGAGAGAAAATTTCCGTTTAAAAACTTTATACAAGATTGCACCATTAATACTTTAGGCTTGTTTTCAAACGAGATCAAAAACTCGAGCGCTTTCGAATAGTTGACTATTCTTCTTCAGTTTGAAAACATTACAATTTTTGTAGGTGATTCCTGTGTGCTAACTTCTTAGCTAGAATGTTTTTTAAAAAATACACACACTTCAATACGCACTTTCTTGCATGTTTCAAAAAAAAAATAATAAATCAAAATTGCCAAAGTTTAATGTTTGGTATTTTTCAAAAGTGTTGTTAATTTTTTTTTCACGTTTAATATAACTTTTTAATGAAAAATAGGATGATGTATCTTAGAAATTCTGACTAACGTCGATATTAATTTTCTTCTCATGAATTTGTTTGTAGTTAAGCACAAAGCTACACGAAGGGCTATCTGTGCTCTTCCCGTCATCGAACATTCTCTCACTTTCAGCCGTGGGGCGTTATAATGTGATGGTAAATCCTACTATTTGTTGGCAAAAGAGTATCTCCTTGCTTTCTGAAGAAAAAGGATAATTTTACTTTGGGTTTCCAGAACCTCATTACCCAGATATGTACTGTTCTTTCTCTGTCCTTCATAACCTATTATGCTTCCCATTCTCTGTTACATAATACTTCCCCTCGCGGCTTCATTGTGTTTCCATCCCTCCCCTGATATTTCTGTCCATGCCAACTCCTTTTCGACCATCTTTGTTCATTTAACCTCAGTATCCCAATCATCCACTTGGCCCCTGATCCTCTCGAATCACGAGCTAAAACTGCCCATCAATCTTCCCTTTCCTTCTTAGTCTCACGTTTATCCCCATCACATTCTTCTACACCTGTCTTTTACTACAACCCCTACCCATTCTGTCTCAGTATCTATCTTAACCTTCCACCTCCACCCATCCTTCTTCTTCCTCCAACATCTATCTCACCCACCGATCTAACTGCTGGTGACCATCTGGTCGATTTCAGACTTTGTGATCTCATCTGTCCCAGTTTGCTCATTTGTGGACATATTTTACTGCTGACAGATAGGTCATTCAAGTTGTTACACACAGTCTCTCCCTTCAGTTGTCTTCCCCACACCCTCTTCTCTCCCAATCTATTGCTTTTCATCACCTTTAAGATCCAGCCTACCTTCAATGTCAGGAAGGGGTGACTTTGGACTTGTTGGAGAAACAATCCCAAGAGAGAATTCACTACCCTTCTTCAGGTTTCTACTCTTGCTTCTTCATTTCCCCAAAAAATACCAGGGATTAGCACCCAATATTTCATCTATCCTCCATCAATAATGTTTTGGTCATCCCTCATTTTTAGATGGAGAAATATTTCTCTCTCCACTGGTCTTTCCAACCCAGCCTATCGATGACTAAAGTAAATATGTCAGATACCTGTCTGATAGACCTGGCCTCATGGTATTTCCTCGGGTTCTTCCAATTCCATGCCCTTTAATTTGGAATGGTGTCAGACCCTTACATATAAATTGCATTGTGTGGGCCTTCAATCATCATCTGCATAGTCTGGAACTATAGTTCCACTCCTACATGGACAAGTGGCTTTTCTTCTCCTGCTCCCAGGAGGAATCCTCAGATCATACTTCCCACCTTCCTCACAAAGGTGCTCACTTAGGGTGGTTCACCGAAGTAGCCAAGTCATTTCTTATCCTGACCCAATATCTCATCTACCTGTGGATCTTTTTCAACTTTCACCTCAGCTATACCTAACTTTCACCACTACATTTACAATACCTTGAATATTTGGTCATAAAAGTCTGTGTGTCTGCTTCGACTTCTGTGCAGAAGGTTCTATCTCTTTTATAAACTATGGCTTTTCTCTCTAGAGCCGCTCATATCACTTGTCTATGCACATATGTGCACCCTACAGTGGGCATTGCGTGACCAATGGAACTTGTCCAGGGGTTCATTGTCCTCTCAGACCCTCCTTCATCTCCCTTTCCTGGAAAATATAGCATAGTAGCTATACCACTCCACCATCACCTCTAGCATTCTCTTGCCTCCTTCTAAACCAGACCTTCACCTATTTATGGATGCTTCTCTCACTGGGTGGGAAGCATCCATAAATGACTATTTTACTCCAGGTTCTTGGATCTCAGAGGAGCATTTTATCCATATCAATATCTTAGAACTGCCTGCTGCCTGACAGGCTTCTTCCCATTTTCTTCCCCTCCCAGTAGATCATTGGTTATGGTCCACTTGGACAACTCCATGGTCATGTTACAAATCAACTGTCAATTGGGCTCTTGTTCCAGGACCCTCTTTATTGGGTTTATTCCAATCAGATGAGCTTAATTGCCTATCATGTTCCAAGTGCTTTTACCATTGTAGCAGACCATCTTTCTTGATGGAACCATGTCTTACCCATGACATTCACACTCAAGTCTTCCATCAAATATGTTCCCAACTCCATCAGTTCTCTTAAATGATTCTGATAGATGCATCTGCATCTCCTCTTTTTTTCTGGTTTACTGTTCCTCACCCATCAGCCCTGGCCATAGAAGGTCTCAATCAAAACTGGTCTTATCTCTTCCTCTATGTCTATCTACCTCTCTGCCTTCTCCCCCGCTTTTTTGTTCTGGTTCAGGACACCCCATGCAAAATACTATGCTATAGACTTCTTCCAGACTCTTTTCCCACTACTTACACCATCTTCTCTACCCTGATTGTTCCTTTTTGCCTAAGACTTCAGCTGACAGGGAAAATGGTCACACATTTTTTCCATTTTCCTTCCTTCTGTCTCTCATCTTTATGGATGTTTTGTGTCCAATCTGGACCATTCATTGTTACCTATCATGTACTTCCTCCTGATCGAGAAAGCTGTTAAGTTCATCTCTTTCCAGTTGCCTTTGTTCCACATTCCCCAAGAAATAGTACATGTTTTGTCCATAGAGTGGTGTATTGCTGTAATGCTGCACATTGTGCAAGGATGTTGACAGCAGTGTTCTCCAATGGTAGGTCACGTGTATCACAAGATTATGACTTACTTTATGTTTCAATGGGATCGACTAACAATCATTTACATGTATGTAATATAATGACCTCATGATTAACTACTTGTCTCTGAAGCTCAAACCCTCAGATTAGTAAATGAAATTAAAGTCATTTATTCCTAAACAGTAATATTCTCCTAATGTTTACTTTGTATTGCAACTACATGTTATTAAACATTTATACAAGTTTTAGAAGAGTATAGAGAGTTAACTGTATAATAAAGATGTTATAATATGCCTTGTGCACATTACATTCATTGTTTTTTAACATAAATTAAGATTATTTCACCATGGATTTTATATTGTGTCCAGTGTCTTTCTTTTAAAATCTCAGTCAAATTTTGTTATGTTTTGTTTACTGTTCATTTATTATTCCTTCTATCCAAAGCACATTGATTTTGACTGTGTATGTATTATGAAACTGACACAAGCTTCCCCTAGTAGTGACATATAGATATTAATGTTGTGAAAAATTATGTAGATTTATGGCAATAGCTAGTCATATGAGATCTATCCTCATGGTCTAATCACTAAATAAAAGGCTTTCCTTGATTTTGAAAACAAGTTAATTCATGAGATATAGTTAGAAAGAATTATTGCTGAATATTGTCCTTGATATTCAGAAGTGACTTAATTTTCAAATATTATGTTATTCTCTAGTGAATCAATTTTTTTATTCTTCAGATTCTTTTCCTAATTTCTTTAATACTTATTAATTTCAATCACATCAATATTTATATTGAATTATTCATTAATAGTTGTCCTGGCCAGCCACGTTTACTAATTGTTTTTGGAAATGATGAAAATTTGTATTCTAATTCTTTGCAAGTTGTATTTTAGACTTCCGTTATATTTTAATAAACTGTGTTTGACCCTGGTTGTAGCAGTATTTTGTTTAGACCATTACAAGAGAACTAAAATTACTTTGTAATAGATATCTTGTTGAACCTCCTGTTATTAAGCAGATCTATCCCATTGCTCTTAAGTAAGTTCAGTTTTAACTGGATATATCAAAAACACATAACCTGATACATAACTACAATTTTATCTTTGATAAAAATCAAAATAGTACACATCAGTAGAGAAGAAAAATGCTTTCAACAAAATTCTCTTTATTTTAGGTTTTTCTATTTACTAAAGTACATGATACTTCTTTATGAGACTGTAACTAACATAATAAATACAGAAAATAGTTTGGGTATTTGGGACTTAATTATCATATCACTATTGAGCAGATGTATGTAGTTTAAAGGTTCTCAATAACAAGGAATGGTTTTGGACCAAGACAATTAAAAACAAAAAACATGCAGATAAGCTACAATGCAGAGACATTGTTTCTAAATGTAAAAGATTTTAGAAGCAGCCTGTAATAAGTTAATATAACCATACTGAAATAATTATAATATTCTTCATTATTTTGCTTACACTAATAATTCTAAGCACCTTTCATTTTAATGAGAAGCTTATTTAACACCCTCTATGCCAGTCGATAAGCCCAAATTCAAGGTACTGGTTGGAATACAGAGTAGTTTCACATTTCTGGTATTCAAGTCAGAACCCTAAAAAAATGTACCCCAATAAAGGGGTCCATCTGTTGATCAAAAAACAAAAACACTTTAATGCCCAAACAACTCAGCTCTCAATAATATTCAGCCACAAAGATGCAGACTATATTCCTCTCACACAAAATAGTAGAAGTGGTCATGTTGGTGTACCATGATTGACTAAACCACTGATTTGTCTATATTTTCTCATGTGCCATGCCAATGATGGTGCTACTGCCAACTTTGATACAGAGCAGAAACCACCACAACATAGACAATGCCATAGTAACTTTTCAGACATATCTATCAACAGAACTGGCAAAACCATGTAGAAAGCAGCTGTATAGATCTGAGGAACCAGATCTCATATTGTTCAAAGATGTGGCCACTATTGCATTTTATGTGGGATTTTGAAGAGGGAAGTAGGGGTTTTACTCCCTCATAGCTTTGAAAGTGCACATTTAGCCATGTTGTTGGGAAGATACATTCATAGAATTCCAATCTCTATTAAGAACTTAAAAATGAGAGTAGTGGAAAGTTATGTTTGGGAATCAACTTATCATAAATGTTCCCTGACTAGCAGATTGGGTGTTAAGAGCAAAAAAATGTGTTAACACATTCAAGTGTACTTTCATAATACCCAATAAAACTTAACTTTCCACATTAATAAGATTGAAAAATATATCATCTTCAGTTCAGTGTTAACATGAAAACATACATAATGTAACACAGGTTTCATAAACTCTTAAATAAAAAAAAATACTTGTGAAAGAAACATAACCTTTATATATCAAGCTAATTATTATACATGACAAGCAGTTTTAGTGACAGTTTGATTGTCTCTAATGTGTAAAAATGCTTATTGTATTAAGCAAAGAATGTTTCAAAATGTACATATTCACTTGTGCATTTTCTTTTTACACCTTAAAAGTTTCTTATTTTATAACGATTGTTGGATGGCAGTTACCTTGGACATGTGGCATGTATTTCAAATTATATGAAACAGTTTACAAAAGAAAAAAAATCATATGAAATTAAAACTTTCAGAAATCACAGACATATATACATTCACATCTTTCAGGATTTTCTGAAAGGGGAGGTATAGCTTACTGCAGGCAAGGGTAGAGGGGGCCCACTTTAAGTCACAAAGGATTATGGAAAATCACCAAAAGGTTAAAATCTTGTTTTTTTATTTGTGAAAGGAGGGCTGTGTATGCTGAATAGACAAAAAGCAGTTCATGAATTAACCTCAGCTTTTAATTTGGGTGAGGAGGGAAGTGTATGTTAGATAAACCCTATACTGGACTCTCTAGTGCTCTGCAACATGTACCATCTGTTAACACCTTAATCAAATAATGTGTTCACAAGTTGTTGTGTCTGTTAACACCATAATCAAATAACGTGTTCACAAGTTGTTGCAACATTCTTACATGATAATCACATGTAGCTCATCCTTCAGCCAAAGTTTAAGTTATACTGTAAAAATTATGAGTTCATCAATTCCACTTATCAATGTGCAAGAGTTAAACACAAATGAAGGGATGAGTACGGGCTATTACCTGTGGTACTTTCATGCAACAGGCAAAACATACACATATGGTATACAGATATGAAATGACAATCACAACACAACTATTTCTATTATATTCTAATATTACTTATCAAACAGCAAGTCCTATCCTACTACTAGCCTCTTTATCTATTCAAAGTATGTCTCACTAAAAGTTAAACACAAGCAAAATTTGTAAATTTATTTCACTTTTCTTACTTCTTTCATTACGATCTTGTGACAAACAGTATAAATGTGAATATACATTCCTAAAGTATTATTTTTAATTGCAATTTACAATATAATAAGAAAATAATAGCCAAAATCAATAGCAATGCATGTCATTCTTTCCTTAATAATAGTCTTTAAATCCAAACTACTGTACTGACAGTGGATAAGTCATGTAATTTATTCATACCTATAGGTATTACAGCTGGGAATGATTGAGCCATAAATAGAAGCATTTTGCTTTTGTGAGATAGTAGAAGCAATAATGATCTTAAATGCTTTTGGTTGCAAGTATATCTGGCACCCTAAAATCACACAATTTTTTTATAAAAAAAAACTCAAATTTTTTTTAGTTGCAGTTTTAAGTAACAATATTAAGATTTCAAACAGCTATAACTAGAAGAGTAAAACAAAATATACATGGAACTCTTTTAAACTGACAAAAAGTAAACACTAAATTACACCTAAACAAATATTTTTATTTATTTATTCATTACACTATAACATCATGCCACCAAAGATCTCCCATGGACGGAGCACTAAAAATATGCAAGCAGCTACTCTACTATAAAACAGCATGAAACTTTTAATATTACTACTATATCACGACTTAAGTGATTTTTTTTAAACATTTCACAATATTTCTAACAGAACAAGAATTAAAACTGATCTACTGTAACTGAAAATTACAAATTAAATTATATACTAGCAGAAGTGTAGGATATATAATTCAGGATATAAAAAAAACATATAAACAAAAAAAAATATTTTGTTATTTTGTATATTTTGATTCAAAGAAAAAATTCAACAAATTTAGTGAAAATACCTGTTTTACAATAGATGTTTGAACTGATAAGAATATCTTGTACAATAAAAAAAAAGTATTTTGAAGTTAGCTGGCCTCACCATTTACCTTGCTGTTTTTATTTAGTAGATCTTTGTTGAGTTTTTGACTCTGATCTACTCCAAGTTGGAGAAGTTCACTTAGTGACTCATCACAAAAACTACTGCTTCGACTTATTGCCATTTCTAACAAACAACTCAGGTTTGTTAAAGAGCTGTCCTTGGAAAGACTGCCAGTTGGACTGCTTGGACTTTGTAAAGCTTGAATGGCCACAGTAGAAGTCAACTTCTTGTTCAAAGTTTCCAGACGTATGATCTGAAAGGTATTGATTAATATAAACTTATGTGTAAGTTTTATTAAATACAATTTGCGGCACCAGTTTTAAATTTTGCAAATACACATATATTTATGATTATATTGCAAAATATTTAGTCATTTATTTCATCAAAACAGGAAGTCTGCATTTAGAAATTCTCAAAGAAAAAAAAAAGCAGACCAAAGACCAACTTTGAAAGTAGCTCTGTCTGTAGTGCTTTTAATTAAATTAAATAAAATTAATGTCCTTTAAAAATAAGCACATGCAGTTTATTCAAGCTGTTCAGGGGAAGAATTATTTTCAAAATATAGATTACACTATAACAAAGTATATATAATTCTTCTTTGTAGTTAAAAAGTCCATAATATTCAATGGGCCTAGTTTCTTATAAACTAACATTTATAGCATATAATTATTAGTAACTTTTTGTGAATATTACTATATATTTTTATAAAAATGATCATCAATTCATGTACAAATAATTATTTATCTCCCATATAAATTATGAGTTTGCTTTTTTGTTAAAGAAATTTAAGCTATGATGCTAACATAAGTTGACACAAATATACATCTAAACTTTAAGTTGTATGTGAGACAGGTATTCAGAGAACGAATTTAGAATTTTTGAAACTAAGTGATATTGTACAGTAATAAACTCGACAAATCGAAATTTGCTGAGTTGAATTTCAAGTTCAGTCTTTTTTAATATAGATACAGTTAACCTCACCTCTGCTTTCAGCTCAGAAATGCATTCTCGTAGATCTTTTTTATCCATATTATTCCCAGCACCGGGTCGAAGTCGTAACTGTCCAACTATCGTTAATTCTTGATTCTAAAAGAAAATTATTATGAAGAGGATGTTTATACCAATATTGAACATTGATTTGAAATGAAATCGAATAACTAAAAAATTATTTGAATATTGGAAAACTAATTACTTTATAAAAACAATTACAAATTATAAGGGCAAAGTCCTTATTATGATGCTTTTGTTCCATATATCAGATATGTAACAATAATAAGAATGTTACACATGTAACAGAATTTTTTAAAACACATGAAAAAAATTATCAAACCAGACAAATGTTCATCCAGTTCTACAGCTGGTCCCTGTAGTCTGACAGCAGAGGTGGAATATATGTTTCATTACCATTTGTAAAGCATATAGAAAACTAATTGTTAATTTTGAACCCATTTACATGGCATAGTGATACTGACTTTTAGGCCATATATATCCATTATGACAATAAGTTGACAACCAGGACCGATAATGGTATTGTGATATTTAATTCATTATTGTATTATAGTGCTGATTTAATCGCCTAAAAACAATTAATGTAATCAATAGTTCGTAAGCTATTTATTTATTTATATATACATATATATACATAC